ACAACCACAACAGCTTTCTCTACGGGGCCAAACTGGGAAAATGCTTGCTCTAGAAGCTCATTGGAAACAACTGGAGAAAGGTTCTTGACAGTCAGAGCTGCTCCATGTGTAGCAAAGCGAATTCGCAGAGGTCTGCTCTTCAAAATGGTACCATCCAGTTCTGCTTTTGCAATTTCAGCCAGGGTTCTGGATTCCTTTTTAGGAGGAAAAAATCATTTTTTAAAAATAGCAACAACAACAACAACAAAATCAAAATAATGACCTGCTTCTAGGGAAAACTAGGCAGCTTTTTTTTTCTTTTTTTGTGAAACCGGAGATTGAACTCAGATCCTTGCATTTGCCAGTCAAGCACTTACCCTACTGAGCCATCTCCCCAGCCCTAGGCAGCTTTTAGAAATGCATAATCAAGTTAATTTGTCTTCCTTTAATTTTGCTATCAAGTGTTTTAGGTATTCAAAGATACTTGTAAACATTTTATGAATCCCCCCCCCCTTTTTTTTTGCAGAACTGGGGATTGAACTCAGGTACTTGCACTTGCCAGGGAAGCACTTATTACACTGAGCCATCTCCCCGGCCCATAACATTTTAAGTTCTAATAGGTTATGTTAAAAGTCACCACTTAAGGGCTGGCCAGATAGCTCAGGGGACTAAAGGGCCTGCTTAGGCAGAGCGTAGTGGCTGGATCCCCAGCATGCTCTGCCCCAGGGGCACAATGTGCCGGTGATTGAGACTGGGCACAGTGGCACACCTGTAATCCCAGCAATTGGGAGGCTGTAAACAGATAGATCACTGAGTCTGATCCGTGTAGTGAGACCCTGTAGGCCCCATACACCCTGACCTAAATAAATTTTTAAAAAGCCACCACTTAAATTGCTCATACACAAGTTACATAAATGAATAAAATTAAAAAAAAAAAAACTACATGTATTAAAACAGAAGGTTTTTGAGATGAAGTGCCACTTAATAGAAATTATCAAGGAAATAATGATTCTTTTATGTCTCCTATGTTTTTAGTACTGATATCTTGTTTGGTGTGGTGGTGCACACTTTAATCCCAGCATTCAGGAAGCTGAGACAAGA